TTTGTCCTTGGTGGCTCAGGGAGCGCAGGCGCGCCCGGGAGCCCGAGTGCCGGCTTCGGGGTGCCAGACCCCCCAGCCCAAAGGGAAAGGGTCCCCCAGGCCTGGCGGGGACGTTTCCTCGTCTTCTGAGTACCCCCACCTCCAAAACACTGCAATTTCTTCTCCCCACCCAAGCTCAGATCTAGAGAAGCGAGGGGCGAGCGCAGGCAGCTGCGTGGATGCCCGAGGTCGCCGGGGAGCCCCCTCTCGCCTCCCGGGCAGAAGGGGCACAGGGTCCGAAGAGCCCTCCTCGGCCCCCAAGCCCTCCCGGACCCGGCTGTCAAGCATAAAGCTGCACACACCTTCTCCCCTCAGCTCCCACACATCTGCAGCCTTTGGCCTGCTCGGAAAACAGATTTCCTCGAAGGGGCAAAAGGCACTTTTTTTTTTTTTTTAAACTTACCCGTTCAGCCCGGTGCCATGGAGTCTGCAAATCAAGCTGGGCGGAGGGTTGGGAGATTGTTATTGGGGAAAAAACAAAATATCTTTGTGGGGGATTGTTTAGTTGGGAATATCTGGGGAAATGGTGGTGCCTTTGTTGCTGCTGTTACCTTTTTGTAAGTTACACTCTCATGGCATTTTCTGCTCCTTCCACTTCTGTGAACTTTCCAGGGTTGGGTTGGCAAAAGGCGGCTTCGCTGAGGGCTGTTTACTGCTCTGGATATAGCAATGGTGTGACCGTCATTAAGAGACAAAAGGCGAAAACACACAATCAAATCAAACAAAAGGCAAAAAGACACGCGGCCATCCCAACCACCATAGAAAATACCCACGAGTTAACGTTGGTGTTTGGCTCGAACCAGCCAGGACTTGTTCTCCAGTTTTAATCTAGTTTCCTGTGACGGCTTTTAGTCTCTTAACAAAGAGGTCTTCCCTTTCCCCTCACCCACCCCTCCACCAAGACCAGAGAAACAGAGCTGTTTTCCTCCAAACAGATGATTTTCAAAGAAAGTGTACCTGTTACTGGGAAGGAAGCTGACTGGCATTTACTGCTGTAAACATTTTCTAAAAGCTTCAAGCTCAAGCCTTAGCTTTATAAAAGCAAAGTCGTCTAAAAGCATTTTAACTGGCTTATATATCAGACAAGAGCGACAAAGACAGACATGCAGATGAAGGTTCAGAAAATTAAGGACATCTCAGCGACATTAACATGAAGACTGCACTGCGTTAAGGACAGAATGGACTGGGTACTTACAATGTAAAAGGTTTTTTAAAAACTTAAAAGAGTTAACGACTGCTTACAGGTTTTTTGTTGTTGTTGCTGCCATTTCGCTAGTCCTAAAACTATACATTTAAAACATTACCTTGTTAAAAAAGAGAGGAGTTAATAAGATGGCCAGGTTTAAGTGTTTAATAGAGGAAACTATATATATATTTAAAAATTTATTGTTCAGTTAAGAGAATACAGATTAAGACAGCTCCAAGCTCCCCTCCACCACCCACCCAAGAAAAAAAAGAGGAAAAAAAATTAAATATGTCATTTACTTAGTTTTTTTTGGAATTCGAAATTGTTAACTGCTGACATTAATGGTGTGCTATGACCTAGTTATACAAGACAAAGATGGATTCCAAGTCATAAGGAAAAATCCAGATCTTTTTTAAAAAAGTCTTCATTCTTCCAACTGTGAGTCCTTTAGCCTGTTGACAAATGTTAAACACAACACTGAGGCGTCCTGAACTGGATGGTGGAGTCAAAGGAAAAAGCATTCCCCACTTGCAACAAAGGAAAAACCCACTTGGCCATTTAATTCCATTGCAGAAAAATGGCTCCCCTCATCTGATGGCCTCTCCTTGGTGTCTGATGAAGGATGTTTTGAGATCAGCGTCTAATAACTCAAGCCCGATAGAAGCCGCGCGCCGATTGGCTGCCGCGCCCTGCCGCCCTGCTCCAGCCAATTACCTACCCACGGCCACATTACGAACCCTGAAAAGAGCCCCAAAATGAAATACACCTCCACCCAGCCCCGGCGCGGCGGCCCCGCGCCTCGGCCGCCCGACCCGGGAGGCAGAGGGGGCTGCAAACGCGTCCTCGCGGCGCCCGGGAGCCTCGGAGTTGAACTCACAAGATGGAAGCCGCGCGCTGATTGGCCGCCGTCTCTCCCGGACCTTTAATAAAGAAAGGGGAAGGAAAAGATAAATGCAAAAAAGGGGGGACTCTCCTCGGCCGGTGGCTGGAGGAGGAAGGTGGCGGGGCGGGGAGAGAAGCATGTGTTCTGGACAATTACAGGGCTCTGCTCTCCAAAAATAAAAAACAGAGCAAAAAGCTTGTATCAGCCAGGTCCAGGCGAGGGCTGCATCCTCCCAGGAATGTGAATGCTAATTTGGTTAAAATCCTGGTTTCCCCTCCCAGGCTCTGCTCCGGGAGGGGGGGAGGGGGTCGCCGGGCAGAAGAGGAAGCCGGAGCGGAGATACCTCGATTGCAACTCGTCTGGAGTCGTCTTGCCTCCCCCACCCGCCCCCTCGCAGCTCCAGCGTCCAGACACAATTACACCCCAAAACCCCAGCCCTGTCCCC